TCCTATCTATCCTATCTATCCTATCTATCCTATCTATCCTATCTATCCTATCTATCTATCTATCTATCTAACTATCTATCTATCTATCTATCTATCTATCTATCTATCTATCTATCTATCTATCTATCTATCTATCTATGTTTTCAGCCAGGGAGATTGTTTTGGTGCGGCGCTCACCCGCTCCTGTGCCAAAGAGAAAGCCCAGTCGGGCACATCTCCCTCTTCCACGGCTAAGGCATCACCATGCACTGCCGCGGTGGCTGTACCCCTCAGCGACGAGCAAAGCTTCTTCTGCGGTGGCTCCATGGCACGACACCGATGGCACTGAGCCAAAGCTATGATAAGGGGTGGTTCATCCTGCTGTATCTTCATACGTTCTGGAAAATTTATTGTACGTGATATCACAACCTGTCATGATCTCATGCTGCAGCTGCAAGACACCTCTTTGATCCTCTTTGCGCCGCGGTTTTTCTGGTCTGTCTCTTGGCCCGTGCAGTTTCAGCACAGCTCCAAGTAATGGAAATCAAGGCCATCGGCCGCCACCTCCCCCCCTGCCACCTGACCTCACCCTGGCCGCCACAGGCCCGAATCAATGGTGCGCTGGAAGTGCGTGTCAAACTCCTCTGCCGAGGACAGAAGGTCCAAGGAATCCACTCTCTGTCTCTGTCTCTCTCTCTCTCCCTCTCTCACTCTCTAATTAATTCAGGAAGCCATCACTGATTGCTATCATTATTGGGAATGTGTACCAATCAACCAATCGAAAACTGCAGTAAACCTTTGGGAGATGTTTTTCTCTTCTGAAAGTACTCAGGAATTTCATCCCACCAACTACCAACAGCATTGAAAAGCGCTCCTCCTCGGGCATTTCTTCTGCCACTTCCTTCAATAGTTCGACGTCACCTGCACCAAAGCACTGAAGGGATATCGGTGGGGTAAATCCAACAAAGAAACCGCACTCCAGTAACTGAAATGTGTCCCATTTCGGCGATATTAAGTCAAGGGAAACGGAAGATCAAGAAAGGCAGGCCCAGTACATCCCACGCTCAAGGTACAGTATTGCCATCAAGCCAAGCAGGTGAACTTATCGCATGTCCCTAGGTACGGTATTGACCGATCCATTTGCAGTTGCCGGGCGGCCCCTTGCACCCGAATCTCTGCCTGTTTTAAAACACGTCTGCATCTTCTCAGGTAGACTTTCGAAGACTTCCACGGGATCCAAGCCCTGTGGGGCCATTGCAATTCTCTCCTCCTGCCGCAGTTTGCGCCCAGCAGGGAAGGGCAGTCCACGGTTTCAAGGTTGGCCCCAAAACCACGCCAAAGAAAAGCTAACAGCTAACATGCTGGTTCAAGGCCGAATACTATCTATATATATATGCTATAGATGTCACCAGCCTGAAAACTCTACATTGCTGTGCCTTTTCGTTTGCGGCTGTTTGCAAGGAAGTTGTTGAAGGAGTCAGTTCTTAAACCAGCTAGAACTGATGCGAAAGTTGGCCTGAAATACCCGGAACAAAATGTCACACTGGAAATCATCGAAATCATATGTAATCCGAATCCAGGAATGTATAATATATATATACACCAACTCGTGTTTGGGTCTTTACAGTAATGCCGTAATGCCATTATATATATCCCTCTCAAATCACTGACGTGGCGAACCGAACAGTACACCTAAATTTGCCTTCTGGTTGTCTTTGATAGACCTTCATTCATTCTCGTCCATCCGTCAATTTGTTTTTAATCACCGATTTGATTGCAAAAGAATCCCCCGGTCTTTCCATCATATTTCCGTCCTTGGTCATTTCATACATGGCCTCCACCAGTGGCTTCGCTTCATATCCGGAAGCTGGTGGTGTGGCGAGGGGCTTGGCTCTTTCCTGCGCCGCAGCTGCGGCTGCTTCCTGTGGCAGTCCCAAGTCCCAAGGGCCAGGACTGGAACTCCTGGGGGTACTGTGCTATGCACATCTTGCACATCTGATGATGAAGAAATCATGATCAGTGCACTGATCATTACCCTGCAAGTATGTCCATATGAATCCATATGATATGTATGATTGTGTGTGCAAGGTATACGGTAGAATATTAGTAGTAAATCAAACTCCTTGGACATTTTGATAGACTTGGGACACATGGCCCTACCAGGTGGCCCTACCATTGCTGGCCCCTTGGGGAAAAGGCCTCTTGCCCACGACCACCGCACTTAAGTTGCTCAAGTTCCGACGAAAGTGTTCAATAGCGGACTCCCCTCTGCCTATATGCATCCTTCCCTGTGATGGTGGCTGACCCCTTGGGGAAAAGGCCTCCTCCTCCTTCTTCTTGACGACGGCGCGTTGAACGAGATTGTTCTCAAAGTGTTTTACCTCGGCTGTTTGCCATTAGTCACCTTGCCAACTTAGAATGGCTGCTGTGCCAACCCTTGAATCGAAGCAAATCAGATGCAAACCATATTCTACCTCTGGAAAGTTCTAATCTCTGGCGGCATAGAAATCCATCCCTTTGGAATTTCAGCGTGGGGGCTCCTTCTTCAAAGGCTGCTCGTGAGGTCTCGTGTTCCTCAGGGGCACTAGTCAGGCACAAAGAGAAGCCTAGCACCTAGCGATATCCAGCCACAAGGGCCTCCGTTCATCACTGTGCTATGGGATTTTGATGGATTTTGCATTTATTGAGCCGAAGTCCTAGCAGAATCTCCCAGTTTCATCCATGTTCCCACAATCTCAAAGAGGGATCTTCCATGTTGTGATGGATTTCCCGTTGTTGTTTTAGGCACCGTCTGGGGAACTCCCTGCAGTTCCAGACTCGAACCGTTCAAAGAATCGTGGCACCAAATCCCGCGGCGGTCGCTTCATGGGCTCTGCGAGCTGATGGATCTGCGAGAGGATCCTTGGCCAACCAGTTACAAACTGACAATCCAAGCGGTCGAAATTACAAATCTCAAAGCCCATCTATAACATTCTACGATCTATAACTGCTGGTAGCTGGTGCACTCAGATTTCGTCAGAGACAGCAAGATGCTCCCAAAAACAATCAGCTATGTAATGTATAATGTTAAGCATTTTCTATTCCAAGCGGTATCTCTTCTTGTTGATCCAAAACAGACCCAACCAACCTCCAAGGCTCTGCCCTTGACGCACGAGTTTCTGCATCAGCGGCCTCGCTGAGGGGTGGAGGCACCCAGCTGACCCAGCTCCAAAAGCGTGTCAGGGAAGAGAATTTAAGAGAATGTCACCTTTGAAATGGTTTAGCATGGTCTAGCAATAGACAAATGAGATGACCAACTGGCTACTGTGTTTGCTTCTCCCTATCTATCTCGCCATTTATCTCCCGGTTTATCTCTATCTCCCCTTGTATTTCCCTATTTGGCTCCCTTATCATCTCCCTATTTATCTTCCTTTGTAGTGCTTAACTTCAGGAGGTTAGTGACCTCGAAAGATTTTTGCACAGGAGCAGCATCTCAACACGTACAAGACCCCTAGGGCCGCTATCCTCACCTGTCACCTCTCATCTCTGCATTCAGAGCTTCCAACATGTAGTAGCTGTTGGCCTGTGGGGAATTGGTCAAATCGAACTCACCAAAAATGCACAAATCAAAGGTGACCAAACACTGGGTAACACAAGGTGGTGAAAGCGGTGAAAACCATTAGACCTGCTGATAGCTGCAGCGAAGGCACATACTCTTCCATCAGAATGTGCCCATACTCCTTCAACAAGCCCTGCACGACCGAAATCGGAAAGTGAGTTACAATTTTCATTGATATGGCGTCTTCTTCCTGGGATCCTGCCCGTTGGGCACCAGTGCATGGGACCAAGACTACAAGGTCCTGGGCTCATTCTTACGTGATGTGCCATGTGATTAGAAGTTGCCACAGTAAAGATCAAGGCCTGGACATCATGTTTACTGTGGCAACAATGCAGACCTTATTTTTGAGTCCCTGCCTCAGAGGTTGTCCAGTCTGCATTCGTGAAGCGGTCCAAAACACCTGCGCCATGTCCGACTGCTTCCCATGTGATTGTGATACTCTCGTCATGTCTCCGGTCCTTGATTGTCTTCCTTGAACATTGTGTACCTCAGTGGTACTATGGCAAATCAAAGTTGGCAAGGCAATGGGGACACACCAAAACGTGCCGCCAGCACTTTACATCAACATCAACTCATCTCCATCCTCATGTCTATTTATCCTCCATAGTCCCTCAGTTGACTTCCCAGTCTTCATCCCGCGTCCCCAGCGCAGCTGAGAGGCTCATCCACACTGAATTCCTCGCCCTTTTTCAGGCGATCTTTCCTCGAGCCATCACTGGACTGAATGATGGTGCGCTCCTGCAGGATGCTGGGCGAGATTGGTCAATTGGGATCATCCCAGGACGTTCATCTAATTTACTCAGGTAAGACCCTTTCTCGTGGGTAGGACCCCATTTTTGAGGGTGACATCCCCTACCACCAACCAGCAATGAAGCCCGTTGAAACACGATGAACTTGGAGGTTGGGACCAGATCTAGTCCGGTCATGGAAGGTCTACCTCTCCGAATCCCTGCGAAACCTCCGCCACGTGGCAGACATTGTCCACATGAAGAGGTCTTTTCGCTTCAATTTTTGCAGCTTTCCTGGGTCCACATGAGATCAACATGGATCAAAAATGTTTCATGCAAAAATGGGAAGCGCATTGGAGACTTCATGACAGCCTAGATCAGTGGCAGCGCCAGCACGGCCAAGCTTCTCCAGCTCACCCTTGTCAGTCAGCCTCTTCACTTCCTTGGCACTTGCTGGCCCTTTTGGTCACATGCAAGACTTAACCCTGTCCTTGTTTGACCCAATATGGGTTGATCGTTTTCAGTGGTGCCAACCTGTCAACATCTTGCCAGCCAGGGTGCTTCGTTGATCTCGTCCTCTTTTCGGTCGCGAGTGATGCGGTTCACCCGAATATTCAGGCCCTTGTCCAGGTTAGGATGAAAGGTATCCTGGCCATGGCGACTATGACTATGCAGCTGCCACATGGCACATTGTTGTCATTGTTTGAGAAAAAGCAACAAGCAAACAAAGAAACAATTCAGGCCTCATCATCGCTAATTTCCAGCCGGTCCCATTTTGAGTAATCAAAGCCCGACCTCGTCTGTCATGACTTCTAACATTTAACTGTAGTAATTTGACACCGCTTTCTACACCTTCACTATATATGTGGCACAACTCAGCCCACGGTGCTTCCAAGAAACATCTGCGAAGGACTTCATCTAGCGCTGCTATGCACTGCTAACTCCGGAGCCAGAAGAGCTGGTGGAAGGGTATGGCAACAGCCATTCTACTAATTCTACTGGGACGCAGGAACAAGCCGCTACAAAAAGAAGTCAAACAAAAACTATATAATTATATGAGTCCAGTCCGACAGTCCCTGTCACTGAGTCACTCAGTTTGTCAGGTCCAATTCCAACCGATTCCAACTATTGATGACTTTCTGAGGGCCTCACATCACCGACGGCGGCTCCTGGCTCGGCTATGCAGGGGCCATGGGTGCCATGGGTGATGTGCCCACATCCAACAAACAGGATGCCTTCATACTGAAGAGAACCTTCAAAAAAGTGGATCCATGATGATCCATGTGGATCCCAATTCATCCCAAGCCTTTGGTAAGTTCAGAAACATCAAATCGACTCAAATCGTGGGTCTCTTTCCATCTCTCTCGCTCCGTTCTTAAAACATGTCATCTCCACTTTTTCCAAAATGATCAAAAAATTATCAAAAGATCATCTTCCAGCCTGCTTCGGCTATCTCTGCGTCGAGATCTCGACCTGGCGCATCGTCGTCAAAAACATCTAAAATCTAAACCATCTGTGTCATCTGTGCAGCGGCGAACCGCGCCTTCTGCGAGAGGACCTGGCAACAGCTCATCAAAACGTGTACGGTAGCAGCATCCCAAGAACCGTCCTGAATTGTCCTGAATTGTCCTGAAAACATGGATGTATAACATGGACAATCATGGACATCACCGCGCTGTGCTTGCTGATTGGAAGAGGGACTTGTGAAGGTTTCAGTCGTTCATTCAGGACCGATGCTCAACATCCACTGAGAATCCACTGGCTGCCCAGGTCCCCCAATTCAGAGGGCCTGCGCGAGCGACTACGGCTTCGGCTATCCCTTCCACCACGACCTCAGATCCAACGGGTTTGGGCACGAAAAAGGAGCACCTGCCATCCTTGGCAACTTTTGAGATGTGAAAATTGTTTGAAAAGTGGTTGGTTGTTGATGTTGTTGGCCTCATCCCCCTCAACAAATGGCAGCATCCCATCACCCTACCCAGTGACGGTCGTCGTTGCGAAGCTTCTCCTGGATCCAGCTGAAGCTCAGGAAAGTGAAACGAAGTTCATTCCAAAACACTGCATCAGAATCTGTTGATCGGAAGTTTGGCGACATTCATTCAAGTGACTAGAAATGCATCAAGAGCCCAATCTACTGCACCTGTCAAAAATCTAAGGGGTGGCACAGGCCCACAGGCTAGGAGTTGTCCATAGTTGTCCTGAACCATCTCGTTCACCAGTCGCTCCGCATGCATTCGACCGCCATTGTCGGTCTTGCTGCCTGACCAATTCAGCCAGCCTTTGGTGACGGCATGTGAGAAAGCCAAGTCGCGTCCCGTAGCATTTAGGGTGTGCTAAAGTGACATATCGCTTTAGATGCACAGATAAAGAGAGATAGATATAGATACAAATACAAATGCAGATATAGATAGACATAGACATAGGTACCAAGCACAAACACAGATTCTGACAAACGCATAACTACATACACATACTTACGAACACATTGGTCTTAATCTGTTCGCTTATTCATTCATTTATTGATTTGGAGAACTATCACACACACACACACCTAATTAATATATGTATGTATATAATTGTACATATGTATATAATTGTGTATATTATATATATGTGTGTGTGTGTATGTATTGATTTAAAAAAAGACATCTGTAGCAGTGCAGCACAATATCTGGGTGCAACCCAAGTTGGATCAGTTCCGATCGCCTGGATTGGCCCCAAAAATCAGGAGTCGCTCCTGCCACGGGCACGAGTTTTTACGCTCGATCCGCGAAGCGGTGAGGATATGTTGGGGTAACCCCACTTGAAAGATTCGTACCGCTTCGTACTGCCCAAACGTTGTCCAAAACGGTCCAGTTATGTCCAGTTGACATTTCTAGAAGACCTGCCAATTCAGTCCTCTCCGCGAGCGTCCAAGGCCATAAACATGAACCTAAACGATTTTGGAGGAGAAAAAACCCTGAAAGGAGGAAGTGAGAACTCAATCAAAATTCTAATCACGAAAAAGGTCTAGAAGCATCTAGAGACGTCTAAAAGTGCTAAAGCATTTCCTTTGCCCACAGCTGCATGTGCATTGCACAAGAACCAACTCTGGGTTGCTGAACGTTCCAGTTTCTTGCTCTACCCGTCGAAGCTCAGAGCCACGGTTCCTGGGCGTTCTGGCTTCAAAAAGGACAGCTACAGGGAAGCAGGGAAGTTTGTTTCGTGCTGTTTTCTATGTTTCAGAAAGTCATGGGCAAAGGCTCATGCAACTTGCAAAAAAGTACAAAAGGATCAAGCGAAGCATGCAAAAACTCGTGAGGTTTGCGACTTTTTTGAGCTCCGGCAGTATAAGCTGTCACTACAATCTGTGAGAACATCACCAGCGGAAGACAGAATATCACATAACTCACTGGGTGTCGCGGGCCTACGCTTGGAGGGGTTCGAAGAAGCCTGGACGTAGCAAGGCATTGCCTGAACCGTCATCCAGCTTCACTTTCCACTTTCCATCGCCAAACTGCTGAATCAAGGTGCCAGTGACACCATTCTTGGCACGAAGACCTGTCAAACGAACCTTTGAACCCTTCTGTAGAGCTCCCACTATCTGTGGAACCACTGGGCTTTGTGACTTCACTAAGCTAGGCCAACCTCCCAAGGGTGCAGCTGCGGCGAAGTTGTTTGGCACAGGGCGCCGGTCAATGGTCGGCAGGTCTTCCAAGGCCTTTCTGTCGGCTTCAACCTGCTTCTCCCAGGATTGAGCAGATGCGGTCACTTCGCTGAGCTCCAGCTTGATCTGGCCTGCGGTCTGCTGAAGGTAGTAGCCTCGCGTGGTCTCATCGAAGTGCGATGCAGAAAACCATTCTGGTGGACTGATGGTGCAGCAAGCCACGTGCAAGACCTTGCAGGAGTCTGGAATGGTCAGCAAGGCTTCTGGGGTCTTGTTGAGCACATCTTCAGATGCAAAGGCCTTCCAACGCATTCCGATGCCACCAACCGCACCCCACATCAAACCAACTGCATCAACCTCAGGCCGTTCAAATTGAGGGATCTTATCCATGTAGGCATTTGATGAAATGTAGTTGGCCTGGCCCATGTTCGCCGTCATGGTACTCATAGCTGTGAAGAACACTGTCTTGTTCAGCTTCAGGTAGGTGCTTGACATTGAAGCTGCGAGAGCCTGCGCGGGTACCTGTCTTGGACCCTGAGCCATAGCAAGAGTCGTTGTAGTTGATGAATCCTCCTGCAGAGTGGGGTGAACAAAATTTAGGATAACATGCAATGTTGTAAGCATGATCGACCCTTAAACAAAGATCAAAAAAATGTTTGAGTCAAAACCCATCCCAGTCCTGTGCAGCCTTGATCTGGCTTTGCAGCTCCTCTTTCAGCTGCACTTCTCCGTGGATCGATTCCTGTACCATGCCCAGCTCGGCACGTCGGGCTGCATGGGCAAATTGCGCTGCCTGTGGATCTCTTGACACGGCAGCCCGCACCACATCAGGATCTGCCTTGAAAACGGGCAGCATGAACTTCAAGGCCTTGCCATTTCTCTTGGCCACCGCCACTGCAAAGTCCTTGTCATTCAGAAGGTCTTCTGCTGCAAACTTGTAAGCCTCAGCATCGTGGACGGACATGTCCAGGACAAAGTTGCGGTCCTCTCTCAAAGCCAGGCTAGCACCTTGCATTGCTGCACCTTTGCCTGCCTTTGCAGCCTCAAGCAGGAAGGCCTTGTCATTGCGCAAGGCATCTGGAGCACCAGTCATTGCTCCACCGTGTGCCCCCAGAGCCTTCAAAAGGAAGTTCTTGTCACTGCGAAGTTCCGGCGCTGCATCTGCGAAAGCGGTGCCGGAGTATCTGGTGGCATCCAGGACCAGCGATTCATCTGATTTCAACTCTGGAGACGCGAACTTCAAAGCTTGGCCCTGGCTCGTCAGCACTGCACTCTTCACCAAATCTCTGTCGCTCTTCACCTGCTCTGGGGCATTGGCCAGCAACTTCCAATCATCTAGAACAGCAGCTCGCCACATGGCATGCCTCCAGCTTTTGAGGGTCACTTCCTGTGCTTCACCCGAATCTTCCAAAGCCTTGCCTGACTTGTACTCAGCTGCTTTGACCCCACTCCTGATCACTGAGGAAGCGGCCAACTGTGACAAGTCCGCATCTGGCATTTTGAAGGCTGCGGCATACTCGCGCCGCAACTCAGCTTCTTCAGCTGCTGGGAAATCATTGGCCATACTGAATTCCTTCCTCAACTTGTCGGCAGTTTTGTTGTTGGTTAGCACCGCCGCCTTGGCGCTCAGCAGGAACCATAAGCCTGGGATGTCCAGGTAACTGGCAGCAGCCGTCAAATCGAAGAGCGTCTCCTGGCGAAGGGGGCGGGGCCACCAGGTGGAACAAACTGCCGCAGGCATGTTGCTGTTAAAGCACGTTAAAGCCAGAGGTCGACAGGTAGACAGCGGTAGACTACATCATAAAGTGGACGTTGTGAGGACCCGGCTACTTGGTCACTTGCTGAGTCACCTGGCCTAACCAAGTAAAAAAATGTAAAAAATAGTTCCAACAAGAGAGACCTGCCCAACCGCCCCCCCTCCTTGTCCACATTCACGAAACTGGCATCCCATCTGCTAGCACCCGAATCCACCAAGTTCTCGCTCGTCAAAGGCGTTCGGATCTCGCTGCACGCGTGCTCTCGGTGGTGCTTCAAGTATTCTGCCAGCTTGGCCATGACGGACTTTGTGATTTTCCTGTGGTGCTGATGAGGTTCATGTAAATTCGAACAAATGCATGCTTACTATTTTGAAAGTATTTCTTTGCGTTCTTTGATGTGTGTATATTGTCTACATGTATAGTCTGGTGTCTTTAATATGTACATCTGGGCTCAGTGGCACGTGAATTTGCAAATCAAAATCAAGCTTCCTTCTCCTTCACCGAACCCATGAGCGACACGTGTTTGTAAACCTTCATCCCAGCAGAAAAGAAATTTCCGTAGTGAACATGACTAACAGCCATTTGAAGCCCTAAACGCAGTGACATACACTCTTCTCATGCCAGGCTGCGGATAGTCCAGCTCTGTTTCGCATCCATTCTCTAATAGATCCTTTCTGGCACGCAAGGACAAGGCCATAGCATCTGCTGGCAACTCAAAGATGTCACCCTCGGCGCACTTGATCTTAGCTTTCTTTCCATGTAGCACTGCTGGACAGGACCCAGCCGGGCCCATTTTCATCTGCCCGAAGACTTCATAGGTCTCCTCAGCAGGGCAGTGGCAGCAGGTCATGGGGATTCATGGGGGCATTGTATCAATCTCGGAAGCTACAGCTACCAGAAAGATTTTGAAAGATTAACTCAAAATAACTCAAAGATGTATTGGAAGACTCAACAAACTCCACTCTCTGCCAAGTGTCAACCGCCATCGCGGGCCACCCACCTTCGACCTGCCCCGGGTGGCGCGCGATGAGAATTTCCGCGCCCTAACAGAGGGCTCTTCAGCCGAGATGGCTGGCAGGACGCGCACAAGACGTGCAGAATTCGAGGCGACACTCAAGCTGTGAAGGCCAAAAAAACTCCAACATTTGCTGGAAGATGTGATCATGCTGAATCATGCCGAATCATGCTGATAGATCTGATAGATCTGATAGATCTGATAGAATCATAGAATCCTACCTACCCCAAACCACCGGAGGATTGCGACGCACACTTTTTACCACAAAGACCACCTCTATCAGCACTCTGACGGAAGACTCATTGGGAAGCAGCGGCACAGGCATGCACAGAAATCTGATGAAATCTGTACAATCTCGGCGCCGCCTTCATGCTGCAGCTGCGGATAGAATTGCCTGCCTCTTTGCAGCCTGACCACACAAAAGCTATTGGAAGTGCTGTGATGCTTGAATAAACTGAATCAAAGCTGTGGGAATGCCTTGAAACTGCAGTGGAAAAGAGAAGCTCCAAACATTGTGACACAAATGGAATCGATCCTGAAAGTGCTGCCCAGTGGCTATCTTCTCCTTCAGCTTTGCCCTCTTCTCTTCAATCTTCCACTGCCGGTCGGCTGCGGCTTGCGCATTGAAAGCATCCATCTGTGGTGAGTTGTGCATCTGCGAAGTGGTACCCTTCTGGACCACTGCATAGGTAGTCTCAAGCACCTCAAAGCAGTGAGCCCTGAGTAAGACACTGCCAGAACCATCATCCAACTGCACCTTCCATCTGCCATCATCAAAGCAGTTCAGCACAATTCCAGTGACTCCATTCTTTGCCCTCAAACCTGTGAGCTTTACCTTGGCTCCTTCTGACACCAAACTGGGCCAACCTCCCAGGGGCGACTCTGTGAAGTTCCCGGGGACCGGCCGGCGATCCACGTCGGGCAGGCCCTGCAGCGCCGTGTGGTCCGGCAGCGCCAGCTCTGCGGCAGATTCGGAGACGTCCAGTTTGATCTGCCCAGCCGTCGGCCGCAAGTAGCCTTGCCGGGTTTGATCATCGAATTTTTGGCTGCAGACCCACTCCGGGGGGAAGAGATACACGGCGATGCAGTGCAAGACCTTGCCACACTCCTCAATGCTCAGCAGGGCGTCAGGCACATCATTCAGAAAGTCTTCAGATGCAAAGGCCTTCCAACGCATACCGATGCCACCCACCGCACCCCACATCAGGGCAACTCCATCCACCTCAGGCCGTTGAAATTGAGGCAACTTATCCATGAAGGCATTGGCTGCACAGTAATTTGCTTGGCCGACATTGGCCGTCATCGTACTGCCAGCGCTGAACTGCACCACCTTGGACAACTTCATGCAGGTGTACTGGGATTTGACGGGTAAAGCTTGCACCGGGATCTGCCGAGGCCCACTGGGAGCCACGGCCAGGGTTGTGGTGGTAGAAGCCCGCTCCTTCACAGCTCCGCTCAAGAAAAGCTAAGCATCTGTTGTTGTTCTTGTTCCTGTTGTGCCTGTGTTACTGTTGTGTTTGCTTGTTGCTAAGGCTGCTCATGAGCTTACAACTTGTTGCTGTTCTCCGCATGACTGTCAGCGACTTATATAAATGCACCTAGCACGCCTTTATGGTAACTGAAATTTATGCACATGTCCAAAGGTTGGCAGAGTACAAAACCCTCCCAGTCCTGCGCTGCCTTCAACTGACTCTGGAGCTCATCTTTCAGCTGCACTTCTCCGTGGATCGATTCCTGTACCATGCCCAGCTCAGCACGTCGGGCTGCATGGGCAAATTGCGCTGCCTGTGGATCTCTTGACACGGCAGCCCGCACCACATCAGGATCTGCCTTGAAAACGGGCAGCATGAACTTCAAGGCCTTGCCATTTCTCTTGGCCACCGCCACTGCAAAGTCCTTGTCATTCAGAAGGTCTTCTGCTGCAAACTTGTAAGCCTCAGCATCGTGGACGGACATGTCCAGGACAAAGTTGCGGTCCTCTCTCAAAGCCAGGCTAGCACCTTGCATTGCTGCACCTTTGCCTGCCTTTGCAGCCTCAAGCAGGAAGGCCTTGTCATTGCGCAAGGCATCTGGAGCACCAGTCATTGCTCCACCGTGTGCCCCCAGAGCCTTCAAAAGGAAGTTCTTGTCACTGCGAAGTTCCGGCGCTGCATCTGCGAAAGCGGTGCCAAAGTGCCTGACTGCACTCAAGACAATCTCCTCGTCTGCTTGGAGGTCCGAAGACACAAATTTCAAAGCTTGACCCTGGCTGGTTAGGATCGCACTTCTCACCAAATCCCGGTCACTCTTCACTTCCTCGGGTGCATTCTGCAGGAGCTTCCAATCATCCAGAACAGCAGCTCTCCACATAGCATGCCTCCAACTCTTGAGCTTGGAATCATCGCTTCCGTCCTGAGAGAAATTTGGGAGACTACCACGGTAAAGTGTATGCCAGCAGCAAAAACCAATGGATTGGGTGTGGAAAATGGCAGGCGGTCCCATCACGTTGTCAACTCTGTGGTTTGACACGGCTGTATGACACATGGCTTTGCCCACAACTCAAGCTCTTGGGGAAACTTGGGACAACCAAGGGACCCTAGCAAATACTCCATATTCATCCATATTTTTCCATATTTTTCCAAGGCTCCGTGAGTTGCTTGAGCCCTGCCTTCTGTTCTGCCGCCCGCACGCCGCTCCGCACCACCGAGGACGCGGCCAGCTGCGACAGGTCGCTGTCGGGCGCCGCGCCCAGGCGCTTCCGCGAAGCGGCGTAGTCCCGGCGCAGCTCGGCTTCCTCAGAGGACGGGAAGTCGCTGATCATGCTGAACTCCTGCCGAAGAGAAAGAGAGAAAAAGTCGACTTTTTGGGAGGATTTATATGGATTTATAGCTGATTGAATCCGATTTAAGGATATATATACCTGATGTAAACCTGATGTAAATCTGATTTAGACCTGATTTGACTGAGCCAAATTTATGCAGGATTTGCATGGTTTAAGCATGTGAAATGTGTATCTAGCCCATGAATCAACATTCAATGGGATGGTTGAAGGAAAGCAGAAATATGATGAATCAAGGGCCAAGCGGGTATAAAACAACGTGGGAGATAGGGATACAATGGAATGTATAGGGATGGAATTCGATATATGTATGATTATGTATGTATGTATTTGTAAAACACAGTAGAACCAGATTCATTGGATTGGTTTCACGGGAATGGGGACATATAATATTTGGACACATGTTTCAGGATGGCTGGTGGTTTCAGACCCGAAAATTCCGTTCGATACTAGTGGGGGTGAACTGGGATCATCATCCCAAGAAGGGATGAACATGAAGAAAATAGTTAAGAGGCAAACCTTTCAGAAGCTCTAGAGAAGCTCAACAATTGTTGTTAGTTAATGTATATAATATATAATAATATATATATACATATCCGTGTGTGTTTGTGTGTGTATTGTTTTGAATGACTGGTGAAGGATGGCCGCAGCAAAAGTCCTTCCGCAACTTCTCAGAGCTCTTGTTATTGGTCAATAGGGCTGCTTTGGCACTCAGCAGGAGCCAAAGGCTTGCGATGTCCAGGTAGCTGGCAGCCACTGTGAGATCAAAGAGAAGCTCCCGATCCACATTGACAAAGCTGGAGTCCCAGCGAGTGGCGCCACAGTCTTGCAGATTGTCACCCGTCAAGGGTATACGAATTTCACTGCATTCATGCTCTTCATGATACTTCAGGTACTCTACCACTTTGGCCATGGCTTCCTTCTTAATCCTCAGGAACGCAAGCTGCGAGCATACTTGGGACGACTGAAAATTTGGTCATTGCGGCGATTGCGGCTGCATCTAAGGCACGGTATGTCCAGGGTCTCTCCGCATCCTTTCTGCAGCTCACTGCGAAGTCGACTTGACAGCCATGCAGCTGCTGTGGGTAGGCTGTAGACTTCGCCCTTGCGGTGTCGGGAAATGGACCACCAGCAATGTCAAGAATAGGAATTTGAAGACAAATCAATATATCACGATGGAGTGGGGGCTGAATTCAGTCATCAAACATCCTATCCTTCCAACCTGCCCGCCACACTTTGCCAACAGTTGCCCGCCTCACATTTCAACGTCACCTGAAATGATTTTGCAAGGTCACAAGCAAAGGGACCAACAGTGCCACCAAGTGCAGAAATATGCAGAAATGCACAAGAACGCTTTCCAGCATGCGGTTCACACGTGAGCACATCATTTATCAAAATCAGTTTGCAAAGAACAGCCCTGAGATGCTGAGGAGTGGCAGTCTTGTCAATAAGATTTGCGGGGCATTGGCCCCCTGGGCCCCATTTGAACTGCCCCCATACTTCATAGTTTTCCTCAGCTGCAACAGTTGTGTCGCCGTGGTGCAGCTCACAGGAGCTGCCAAAGTCTTCTGCAGCATGATTGATTTTGTTTGACTCAATGACCAAGATATTGCAGGGCTGCAAAAGACATATGGACACAGCAAAAGGCGTGCCACATAGATCATCATAGATCCACAGTCTATAGTTATGGTGTTCCCTTGTGTTCTCCATGGAAGTACTTCTTTTCCGTCCAGTGGTAGCAGTACTGGTAGGTGACAGGACATCAGGATCCCACTTGAAGCCAAGGCACTCCCATGACGGCCAAGCCTAGGCCCAGCCAGCTCGGCTTGAGCCAAATGGCGATACGGCCACGGTGGTTAAGTACTCCCTGAAGCACCAATGAAATGTGCCAATAAAGACGATAATGCTGACAGTGAATTAAGAGCTTCATACGAGAACTCATGTTGCATTGACTTTGTGGTCGGTTAGCAGCTAGGGTCATCACCCTGTCACCCAGCCCTTGCAGTTCTCTGGGATGTGCATCTCGGTGCAATCCTGCTTGCAATCACAGCAAGGGTCACAAACTGGCGGACTGCATGGGGAAGCCGACTTAGGTGATTGAAACGTTTTGCAGCTCTGGTTGCACCTCCTAAAGCAAGATGTTTGAGTCGACTTCAACAGGCTCAAGCTCAGCTCGGCACATCCCGATCTGCTACATCCTTCACTGTGACACTGCCACGTCCTGTGGCCGGATCGGCTGGGCCAAACCCGCCAACAGAACACTGGTAGCTGAAGAACCGGTTTCTGAGGCAGAGACGCTGGGCAAGCAACCAATCAAGGAATTGCTTCACCCGCCTCCGTTCCTGAAACACATGTTCCGCATTGGGAGATGGCCAGCTAGGACTCACTTTCCCTGAATCGTTGCGTGATGCCTTGAGAGTTCCGGCCATGAAGCACACGTGGCCAACATACTCCAGGATCACCTGCCACTGCATAGGTCACCACACCACTTGGAGCACTCAGTTGCTTCTCGAGAAAGTATTGTTGTATGATCAGAGCATTTTTCCGGGCATTGTCATCCTATCCAGACCGGACATTGGGCTGGATCTACGAGACTAGCCGTGACTAGCCTCAGTGAAGCATTGTAAGCATTGCATAGCAAATGGAAATCATTGTACTAGCCTCATAATTTATCATAATGATCTCTTGTTCCACATGCTGACTGATGCCACATAAATTGTCGGCAGCACATGGCCCGCCAAGGCCAATTTCTTCCTGGTAGAGCCTTCTTTTCCTGCAACGAGCAGGAAGCCACTGAAAAGCCACTTTGGGATAGATCCCAAAGTAATATTCACCAAGTCAAAATTGCAAACAAAATGGATTGTGCCTAGGCCCGAAACCCGCCTAAGGCATAGCTCAACTCATCATCTCTGAAGATCATGCGATCTGTGGCGAAGCCCTGGCAGTGGATCATGGCATCATTTCTGATTTCTGCCATCTTGTTCTGTTCTTGTTGGTTACCCACATGGATTGACACATCACGATCGGTTTTCAAGGTTGAAATGTACAGCGCAAGGTTGTTGACGATAATCCATCTGTCCGTCTCAATCTGTGCACGTTCCCAAATGCTTAATCCATGAGCCAAATGACCCGTTATTGTCATGACTCATGACCATATTCTAGCACGTGTTCTTACAGGCCATCACGACCAATCAATATATATATATATATATATGTAACAGAAACGGATATCCACGTCATTAGCCGCAGGTCCATGTATTGCCTCATTCTATGTTGAAATCGTTTTGTATATACTGTATATCCGACATACAGCATCCATGATCCAATTATTCACTATATCGGTTCTCCATGTATCAATCCCCATAAGCTTCGTGGCCTTCTCGTCGCTGAACTTCTCTCGAACTCCACGGGTGAAAGTTCCAGGTGACTTGGTCTCCACGGCACTCATCACCTCAGAACCGCTGTCATTTTTGGCATCACTATGATCAATCTTGCCATTCAGCAAGATTTCTCATCATGATCATCATTACCAAAAAAAATATAAATAAATAAATAAATAAATAAATAAATATATATGTGTGTGTGTATGTGTCATTATATCATCATTCAATGTGATTCATGGTGATTCATGGTGATTCATGGTGATTCATGGTGATTCATGGTGATTCATGGTGATTCATGGTGATTCATGGTGATTCATGGTGATGTGGTTCATCCATTCAGTGACCAGCTTTTGACACCAAGGAGAGGGCCTTCAGCTCAGCGCCTCTTCTGGCACGCTGGCTTCCAAAAATTGCCAGCTGCTCGGATCCGCCTCGACCTGACGCGGGGCCGAAGAACGTCGAATGTTGCGAAGACCGTGTGGGTAAAACAATGCTATAAACAAACGATCCCCCAGTCATCACCATGTCATCACCATGTCATCACCATGTTTATAGGATTTTATAGGTGGTATAACTTTATAACCCTTACCCCCATTAGCGAAGAGTCCCACAAGCCTCTGGATTGTCCCTTGCTCTGCCCGTCCTAAAAAACATACATCAAAGCATTTGGCCATTGTCTTGCACCATCACCACATCCGAACTTGGACGTCCTTGTTCATGAAGAACATCAGTGTCCCCCATTCCTGTTGAACTGTGCTGAGGTATGCAGCCGCCATCCCATGCTGTCTGCTCTGTGTCAGCAAGAAAGATCTGAGAATCCAATCCGTATAACTTAACCATAGTACTACCAGGTTACTACCATATTGGAGCAGAATCAACCTACAATGGAAAACACTGAGAACTTCATACAACTTCAGTGCATCATGGTGATGCAGGCACCTCCTCAATCCCTCCCAGGGCAGCTCGACGGTTGCCGGTGACATAGCCGATGCAATCTTGCGGCACATCCTCAACGCACCAGCGGTCAGGAGACTTCAGCTGGGGCAACTGGGCGCTCCTATCATGTCCCATCGGGTCCCACACCACCACAGTGATGTCATCGCGATCCTCCCAGCCATCCACCTTAGAGTCTGCATATGTCTGCATATGTCTGCATATGTCTGCATATGTCTGCATATGTCTGCATATGTCTGCATATGTCTGCAGTGTCGCCTTGGATGGCTTGCTACCGCCGGTGTTCCAAGTGCAGCCATGTAGCATAGACTGGGCCTTCCAATTGGTTGAAAAGCCACTTCATGTACTCCTGGCAGCGTTCCTTTTACCAATACTGTCCCATTGTCCCACCACTTTCTACGTCCAAAAGAAGTGATTGTGATTTGCGTTTAGTTTGCATTTGGCTTCTCGATGCTTCTGGATAGGCAAAAACAAAGCTGTGAGGTCCTTGGCTCTGCGACGTTCCGCTTTGCAGCCGGAGAAGAGTGCGTTCTGCGGCAAGAGCGCAAATGAACGTTTGATCAACATTTGATCCCTATGGGGCCCATTGGACTTGATTCATTTCTTTGCGTTTAGAACAGAAACTAGAGTAACTAGAAGCTTCATGCCAGCTGCAGTCGGTGCAGAACTTTTTCTGCACGCGCCGCCATTGTTGACCTCCACCGCTTGACCGCCAGTCGCTCAGCTTCACCATCTCCATGGTGTGACAAGACGTGCCCCATCTCCATCCATCTCCGTCGAGTTGGGCACAGCCCGTTTTAGATGTTGGTGAACACGTGGGCCTGCCGACTCAGCTCTCTAAAAGTTCATCACTTTCTACATCCATGTGAACACAGGAGCAGTTCTTGGTAAGGTTATATCTCCAAGTACCCAATGATTGCCTGATGTTCAGTGAGCTCAAACACTACTTGAAATCGGGCAGTGGCTATGCGATGAAATTGAAGGGTGCTCCCCCACCGGATAGTGACAGTGCCCTTCACCAGCTTCCAGCCTGGATCAAAGCCTCGCATGATGCCTGATCCATTAGGCCGGTGTGAAAACATCATGTAGTGACAGTCTTTACCCACATGATTGACGCCTTTAGGGTGGTTATCGGTTAGAGTGAGACATGGGGACATGGGGAGCAGGGGGATGGGGACCGAACCGAATCTGAACAATGTTGTAAGTCCTCCAAGAAAAACAAATAAAAACAGACCCTACAGGATCCCACAAAAGAAAGACCTAAGAAAGAGGCTTCCCCTGGGCTACCAGTGTGGTGGGACGCGTGGATTGCAAATGCTATTCAAATTCAAACTAAGTATGACATACGTCCGTCCTCCCTTGTTTCGGCGCAGGGTTTTTTCCCTTCCAAGAAGGTTTTTCCCTGTGACGGTGGTTTTGTTGGCTATTCCTCTTTTCCGTTGGTGCAGTCCGCCTCCAAATTGGAAGCCTGGGCTACGCACCTGGGGAAGATATACAGCCATGACCCTACTAAACTATTTTGATCCCTGAGAAAAGGATGCAAAATGTTCGAACATACTACGCGGGTATTGGCAAGTCATTACATCACTAATTCAGCTGGGCCACGCTGTCAAGTTGGCATCCTGCCTGGCTGATGAGCACATGTTGGTTTCAGAATCGCAAAACAACTGAGTACAGCACATACGATGCGTGTAAAATAACAGCCCGGATTAGCAAAGTAAGCCCAAAGCTGTCCAATTTTTGGGGTACCATTTTAATAAAAGTTATAGCAGATTGTCTCGATATGGGGGGAACTCCAAGTATGTAATGAAAGTCTATTGGTCTGGGGTTGACATTACCCAAACATGCGCTGCCTGCAGCAGCCGTGGGGTCTCAATCAGGAGTTCATTGCGGCCGCAAATGATCACAGCAGTGTCTTCCAGCCTCACATAGCAATAACCCCTGATCACAAAATGGCATCATTCGCACAGTTGCGTGGTTTGGGACATGCCAAAGGCCCAGTTATGCCCTGTCATCGCAGGGTGGTTTATCCAACCCATGCCCATCTCTGGTAAAATTGGGGCTGGCTATGCCTGGCTGATCTTTGGGTCTACCACACCACTTTTTCGCAGCCCAGCAACGTTGCACCCACTTCTGCGAGCCCACCTGCAAGCATGTCAGTTGCATAACTTCGCAGGAAACAGCGGCTAATTATATACTCGCGGTTCCATCATATAACCCACATAATTGCAATTATACTTCAACTGGGACCTCTTGGAATTGCGGAACTTCTGAGCAGAATATGTGGGCCGTCTTTGCTGCATTCATTTCTGGTCAGTTGCTCCACTCCTGCAAGAAAGTCCAAAGCAATTGCTTGCTGAGCGTAGATCTTTCCCGACCTGTTGCAGCCGACTCGAGAAGCTGGGACTGAACAAATCGGCCTCCGAAACTCACCATTAGATTCATCGAACGGGCTGGGACACCCCCGTAAACCGATCGAACATCAGATTTCTTGCCATATGCTTCTGAGATACTTCGATTTGTTGCGAGGTCGCAAGGGCTCTGGGACATTGGACTTGCTTCTTGCCTGCTGAAACTCAATCAACCATCGGCCGGCGAAGACCGCATGCTGTGGGCTCAACCTTCTAGCTGCCAAGTAGGTAACATGTCTTGAACTGTATACTGTATACACACTTAGACGGCTTAGACGTTCACAGGAGAAAAAAAAACGTAAAATGTCTGCTATGCGGCGCATGGACCTTTAATAAAGCCTTTAGTTGCTGACCGCACACGATACGCAAGCATTTGGAACTGATACGAGTCCGGGAGAATCATTGCATTCTTGCAAGGAGTGGAAAGTCCACTCTTTGCAGTGCCAACAAGGTACCGCTTCGAGCAAGGCAACACCTTTTTGAACCTCAGGCATCAGCACCAAAAAATGAAGACTTGAAGCCACTTGAAGCTATCATCAAGGAATGCTCTGCAAAAAAGCCCTTCCACACCGGTTAACCAGAAACAATTGAGTAATTGATGCAGTCAGGGAACTGCATCCTGTAGATCGCCCGCACCGGATGATGAACCTTGATGAACAAGGTCAGTCAAGAAAGGTAACAAGTAGCACAAATATTACACGGCATAGAAACCAGCCTCATGGAGTTCCAATCCCAAAAAAGGATAGATTGAAATCCGCAGAGTTCTGCCACTTTCTTCACCCAAGTGGCCAGACACCAACAGGGTGAAAGTCAACCGCTTTTGCGCCACCAGATTTTGCCAGAAGTTCAGGTAAGGTAGGTTGATCAGATCCCGGATGCCATAGAACACATGGATCCCTAAGTCTTTGGGCAGCAACTCTGTGATGGCTGCCTTAACGCCTGACAAGCCGACTCCTGAGGAAACGATTGCCACCTGCTTTACGGATTGCAAACCATCCATCAGGAAGCTGTAGCGGCCGTTGAAGAAACCTGAAATGACAGGATTTACAAATAGCCCACAGGGGCCAGTTGCGCACCGTCTCACAGCATGAGCGACCTCTACCACCACCTCCCGCAGCCCTTCAGGTGGAGGCCCAGTCAAAATCTCCAGAACGCCTTCTTCACTCTTTCCAGCCAAGGCATAGGGCTGCTCGCGCGGGATGCCATTCTGATCCAAATGCTGAACTCTCAAGATGCTTCCTGGCCGATAATCCTTCATGACCTTCCGCCAGGCCTTTTTGTCAATGGTCAAATAGGTCATCTCAAAATCTCCCAGCACCTCTTTCTGGACTTGTTGGACAGGCACCCAATCATCCTGGCAATCCGACCCAAACCAATTGCAGGGACATTCCAAGGCCCCCAGGCCGCTGCTCAAGACCTTTGCATCCTGGCGATACCTCGCTTGTACTGCGGCATCACAAGAATCTGGACGGCACAGCAGGCCAAATCCAGTTGGAGATGGATACCGGTCCTGGCAAAAAGGTCTCAACCCCATAGCCATGGGCCACTTGGCCGCCAAAAATGATCTATGGAATCTATGGATCTTGTGGGGCTGGGGGTCAAAAAGGTGACCCATTTTATAACACATCATTTTCCTTCATCCCTCTCCTTGCGGATCTCAGGAAGCAAGCATTCCTCGTCACACACTGCACCACCTGCACTCAAAATCTGCCATTGGAAAATCACCATTTTCAATGGGAAAATCCACTATAAATGGCAATTTTCAATTGCTATGTTAGTTTCAAATATGGTAATTCCAAACTTCAGTTTTGACCCGGCTGCGTCTGCGCTTGGTCGGGCATCAACCTAACCTGAATGGTTTTCATTACAGTATACAACAAAACCGGCTTGCCAGGGATACCTCTTCAACTCCTACTGTACTTTGTTTAAAGTCTCCAAACTGCTTGGCCTCTTGGATAGAAGGCAAAGACCGAAAACTCTTTGCACGTCACTGTCACGCTTCCAGCCGGTGCTAGAATGGATCTGTACCATTGCTGGCAGGTTGTCTTGCAATATTCGCCCTTGCACGGCATCATGCTCGCATTCATGACGCAAGCCTCCAGGTTTTTTTTTTTTCGGGCTTTAATGCAGCGCTGCACATTCTGCATCTGGCCTACCCCACTTCCATACCGCTACTGCGGAAAATGGATGGAAACATGATGAAATACTCTAGCAGCAAAGGAACAAATTATGAGAGCATGAGAGCAATGAACGTATGACGACGTATGAAGTTCAAGAGTTCCAACCTCTGCTGATCCATCTTGGCACCAATTGCCACAGGTGGGTAGTTCCGTTGCTTGGCATTGCTCTGTGCCACATTCCTGGGCAGCCGCTACTGCGAGAAATATCACCTTCATCACTTCGGGGGCTGCCCCCATCTTGAACCAAACTGCCTCCAACAACCCATGGGGGAAGTGGTCATGTCGCTTACTGCTAGTTGCAAGGAATAGGTTTGCATTACCCTCTGGTAAACTAACATAACTATGGAAAATCACCATTTTCAATGGGTAATTCCACTGTAAATGGCCATTTTCAATAGCTATGTTAAATTACCAGAGGGTAACAAACTTTCATAGATGCGGGTGACATGGCTTGACAACACTTACAATGAGCCACAGGACACCCTGCGCATGACAAACAAGTCGAGAGACAGGCTATAGTAACGCGGAATGGACAGGTGTGAGATGCAGCACAAAAGAGGATCCCTTCTTAGTGGATACACCGCTTAAAGTTTGAAATGATGTTCCCCACTCCCTGCAGTGTGTGATTGTCAAACAGTTGTCCATCTACAGTATCAATCTGTCCATCTACCCATTGTCCATCTGTCCATCTATCCATCCCGTTATCCATCTATCAATTTGTCCATCTATCTATGTATCTATTAGATCTATCCATCTGTCCATTTATCCTGCTATCTATCTATCCATCTATCCATCCATCCCTTAATCCATCTATATATTCAGGTATGATTCTTTCCTGGTGTCCGTCTATCCAAATATCCATCTCCGTCTATATATGTATATATCCATCCATGTATGCCGTTATCCATCCTTCCATCCACCCATATATCTACCTATCTTATCCTGTCTCATCGTATCCGCCTTGTCTTATCTTGTGTTCTCATATCTTGTCCTCTTTTGTCTTTTCTCATCTTCTTCTTATCTTATCGTCCTATCCCATCTTGTCCCATCTATAAACATATACATCTATATACCTTACCTCATCCTACCGTATGTTATACCATATGCCATCTCATCTCATCTCATCTCATCTCATCTTATCTTATCTTATCTTATCTATCCATGGAATCCTTTTACCCTGACGCGCGGAGTCTTTCTTCGCGCACCGTTTTTTGTTTGTCCTTCGCAGGTTGTGACACCAGCTGCTGCACCTTGGGCTGGTTCCAGATCCTTGGCCCAGTGGCCACCAAGGGACCTCGCACCAGAGATCTTAAAGTTATCCTTGTCCTCATATGTTCCATCTTACATGACTTATATCCCTTCAGAATATCCATATATCATCCATATATTGCATACTATACCTTGGAATGTATCTATATACATATATACATATAATATATATATATATATACATATATAAATATATAAATATACAGATCTTGTAAGGTTCAGATATTTCCCAAGAAAACGGGTGGATCACTGGATCTCCGAGCATCTCCACCAGGACCCAGGCGTCTAAGGCAGCGTAGCGCCTCTGGGAGGTGCGCAGGGGTCGCCAGGCCCAGTTGCTGGCACGAACTTCCTGGAGGAATTGGTGGAAAAATCTCAAGGAAACTGGCTGGTCTATACATTTATACCGTATAAAACCTCAAAGGATATATTTATATTGATTATATATTATATATATATTATAGGTACATATAGGGCTTTCCTGCAGATTTCAAACCAATGCTGGGATTTGGGGATATGCGAATTTGACAATCATAATCATGATGTATGAAATAATGTAAGTATAATGCTAGCATATCTAGCATACGTAAATGTCAATAATGTAAATGTATACATATATAATTATATGTGTGTGTGCGTGTCTGAGTCATTGAACGTTGAAGAGAATAAACATGACGGGGAGGGATATTCAATCACATACAGGATGTGATATGCCCTTGCATGGGGATCTGATGGGGAAACAAAGCCGATATTATATGATATTATTAGATACATCTAGTTAGCGGACGGGATAGCATGAAAAAGGGGATTGAATCAGCCATCACGGGAATTTATAAGCAAACATCGAGATCTGAGCAACCGTTCTTGGGGCCACCCTGTGGTTTACATGTTCCTTGAATAGATACGAATAGATCATGAATTACCAGGAGTTTTAGGGAGTCCCAAGTCCCTAACGTCCCATCCTATAAAAAATGCCACCCGTCCTGGCCCGTCCTTGTTCAAAGGTTTTCCCAGCAACTCTTCTGAGAGGCTGGAGAGGCTCAGTCCATGCAATATCGCCTTCAAAGACTCAGATGTGGAACCCAATCGAATCCTGAGCGAGTCCAAAAAGCTCTGCCTATTTACCGCGAATTCTTCAAGCGAACCCAGAGCATCCAGCGAAGCTCTTCCAAAAAACTCTCAAGAGTTCCCAGAAATCAACCAGCAAATCAACCAGAATTGTGGCAAAAAAATAGCAATTTTGCGTCGGCAAATCATGCGACATCAAGGCACTGAGCTCCCAGTTGCTGCATGTCGTGATAAGATGCCACAGATTTAGCTCCCAGTTTTCGCAGCTCCTTGAGCTCCTGGAGTTTGTTGGTTTTCTATGGTTTTTTGCGCTGGGTTTCTAAAATGATTGAAGCAAAGCGAACAACTCCAAAAGCTTTGGTAAGAGTACGTGGCAGGGAAGAGGATGTATGGGATGTATTTCCGACCATCTCTGGACACAGCTTTGGTGACCCGCTCCGATGCGCCAAATCCCAGCTTTACGATGAGAGGATTTGCCATTAGTCTCGCCTAAGCATTGCCAGGTGCGGCACATCAAACGGGGAAGTGTCGGGGGTACCATGGCAACTTCTGCCCCGTCTTCAGGCACTAGAATAAGTAGAACAAAGCTCAAAACGAAGATCGCAACCTTTAAGCTACCGGAAGAGAGAGACAGAGAGAGAGAAACATAAGCTTTCAAAGAGGAGAGGGCATGATGTGGCTTACAATAGCAGCAATAGCAAATAAACTCTTGCCAGCTCCAAACAGTCTAGCTACCCAGCCTCTAACATCATGTCTCAGCTCAGAGGCTAGAAATGTTCGAATGTCCTTCATCGCGATAGCAACGGTGTCAATGAGAAAAACTTCAGATTCAATGGCCACCTGGAGGAGCGCCAGCTTGCCCGAGAAGGTTGACTCGGTGTCCAAACCCACAGAGGTCCATGGTCCCAAGGTTGCCTGCATGGTGAGAAAATCCAGCTCACCAGGGCTGGAGATCATGTGCAGCTTCACCCTATCTGGTAACCTGATCATGGCTGATGACAACTGATACCTGGAAAAAAAGGTCGACCACCCGACTCACACAACTTGGCACTTCCAGGGAAAACAGGCCAAAACCTCCCGCTACTTTCAACCAGTTTGCAGGTCAAGCAACTGGAAGAACTTCCGAGCTCTTTCTGTTCCCAAACGCAAATGCTTTCTGCTGGGCGCCAACTTGAGGCGCCATGTAAATAACCAGAATTTGGCCAGCTCCACCTTTCCAACGTTTAGAAAGCTCGTAATCAAGCGGGATCGCAGCGAGGTTTTTTTCCAGCACATTTGGATGGCTGCAATTTCCTTCCCCTCTGACTCTGCAGCGGCTTCAATCCTTTGGAGTCGACGCTTGTGTTGGAGCTCCAGCACCTTGCTGCTACTGATATTGAATTGCTTTCCCAGAGAGATCGCAGCTCCTGTCCATCCCTTGCGGCAGAAGTTGTCAAAGACCATGTCAGGGCCACACTGCAAATCTTCGGCAATTTCCGGAAAGCAGCTCAAAAACGACGTGATGAGTGTGACATTTGACTCGTGTTCCAAAGAGAGAATCTCAGTCCCCATGGCAGCAACTTCATCGCGCTGCTGTTCCTCGGGTATCACAGGTTGGCAAACTGCACCACGATCCAGTTCTTCTACTATACTTTTTGGGCCTGGCTGTATCTAGATCCCGTGTTTGGAACATCGCAGTGTCATCATGGGTGGGGATGAGGGAAATGCATGGAGATGCTTCTTTCCTTGGCACTTCAAAGTTCATTTGCCAAGCATCTGTGGTGATGTGTCGGCCCCTGACCTGCCATATATTGAGCAATCTGGCAGCACTTGCCTTGGCCACTGGCTGCCTCCAGAGCCTGAGAGCCAGGTCCAAGATCTCGGACTCGGTTGATTCGCTTTTTTCGAACATGCTTCGCTGCCCATTTCTCTCCAGAAATGCTGCTAGTTGGCCAACAATGAACCGAGGCAAAGTGCTTGGCGGGTCATTAATGATGCAGATCTCTTCCAGACATTTCAGCAGGAAGTCTGGAAGGTCCTCCGAGCTCTGAAAAGCTGCTCTGGCGGCCAAGTAAGCTGCATTGGAGTCGGTGGTTGAGGTCAGTGCATGGAGGAATCGTTTTGGGTCCTGCATTGCCACCTGAAACGACATCTCAGTGAAACAAGAGGAGCAACGGACCCCCATGAGGCTGTCAACTTGGGAAGGTTGAAGGAGAATTTGCAGTGCCGTCCACGCGAAGCCAACCAAAAGTAACAGACCCAACGACTGTCCACGGCGAATGTGTTTGGCATGCACACCGGGGAGTGCTGGCTGCATGCCACACACACGTTAGTGCCGGTTCACTTTCGCATTTCCAGCGCAAAGGGCTGCCACCTTCTCGCTACATATCTCCCACATCCATGGACATGCAAGCAGTTTCATGGATCTAAAAAAATCAATCCCATATGTTGAAAACCACACTGAGCTGACCAAAATCTCAGTTGTCTGTTTGCTAGTTGGCTTGGTCAGGAATCAGGAATCCCGCAGAATCTGAAAATCTTGGTGACGCTGGCTTGATCCGCCAAGTAATGGAGCAACATTCTGAAGCAGCTTTTTGCGGCTATTTCTTTCCACTGTGGAATTGAGGTGGTTGGCTCTGTTTTCCAAGACTTCCCTATGTCACAGTCCCCTCAACCTCGATCTATTTGTTTTGGGATTCTTTTGGGCTGTATTTCATATGAGTAGGACGGGATTGTTTGTTTGTTGGCTCGTGATTCAAGGCCTGTCCCCCACATAAGAATGATGAGACTCACGTGAACACAAAGTGTGCGTAGAGCCTGCCCCACATACTGCACAATGGCTCCCGAAGAACGCTCAATCTTCTTGCGGGTGCCGCCCTGACCAAAAGAGCTGCTTGTGAGAGTTCAATAACCACTAGAATCGATGAAAATTTGAAACCATGTCCAAATATGCGCAAATCGTTCAAGAATGTCTTTCTTGCTTAGTTTACATTTCATGGGTACCAGCTGGGAAATCTCTGAAATCTCTGCAAGAGTCAGCAAAAACTAATGAGCGCAAAGTGAGCAAAGCATCACCCTCCAAGCTGGTGCCCATCACCTGCTTCCCCAGGGCATAAGACAGTTCGTCATCTTGGAATTGCATGGTATCCTCAGCGATCGCCCATGGAACCATAGAACCATGGAACCGAGTTCGCAATGACAGCAACATCTGCGATATGCTGCTGACATCTGATGTTTGAAACAGAGAGTCAGTGCCCCAAGTGCCGTCTTCATAGTCGCAACCTTTGTCACGTGAAACGACCTGCAAGCTTCAAGTTTTCATCACCCACTCAAAGCTCGCTGGCTGCTCAAATCAGTGGCTCCCAAGTCGTAACAATGGCAACACCATTCTCTTTAGCATCTAATGCGGTATGAATTCGCGCGTGACTTGCAACAAACCCATCTGGACCGAGATCTGGATCTAACTCCCGGCTCCATGCCGGTCGCCTCCTCTCGAATTTTCTCAAAGTAGCCCGGCACTTTGGTTTCCACGGCACTCAGCACCTCCGGGAACCCTCCAAGCACCCGTCAGATCACCCAAGAACCGTCAGTTGAAAGTGCAGCGCGGCATCGGGGCCCGCCTTGAGCTCGGCACCGCGCCGTGCCTTGACATCTCCAAAGATGGCCAGCTTTTCGTACTCCTGTGCCAGGGAGATGGGAGAAATTCAATCGGGTAACTTCAGAATCTCTTGAAATCAGGGTGGAACATGTGTTTTCACATGTTTGGACTTCGGACTGGGAAGCGTTGCAACTTCCAACATTGCCTTGCTTCGAGATCGTGAACTTTCCACCTCCACGAAGAACCTATCCGCACCGAATTCAGTCATAAATCCACGGTAACCCCTTTTCTAGCACGCATCCACTCTCCCCTAACAACAAGCTAAATTCCTGGCATAGTTCCACCCATCGTCATCCGAGCACTGAGAACTGGGGCACAAGCATCAAAGTACCCCATTCTTCTTCGATGGTCCGGAGAAAGTTGCCCGCCTTTCCAGGAATCTACGAGAGGTGCCATATGGTGCCATGGTTGGCACGGTGTCTGCCAAGGTGCTCTGCCCGTCACAAAGCCCACTGCTTCTTGTGGCACCTAAACAGTTGAGCCAGCTGCATAAACTATGAAGCACAAAGAGAAGGAGAAAGACTCCATGAACCTGACTCATCCAAGCTTTGAAATCCTGGGGATAGCACTCGCAGCATTGTGAGGTCACCATCATTGTAGTCCTCATGGACTGTTACAGGCCTCAAATGCTCGGTTCTGCACCTGGATGAGGACCCAATCTGCGAAATGAATTTTAATTCATTCCCACTGGCTCAAGCCACTCAGAGAATATCTGGTTGAGCACTGGGGTCAAGTATTGTATCTATTCATATCCGTGCCTATCCGTTCACTATGGTGCCCCAGGAAGATTCAATGTTGCAAGGAGTGGGATAGGACTACTCATCTTGCCTAAGATCACCCTGCTGCCCACCTGCTCATCTCATGATTCTCATGTGTCCTACGCTTCTGAGGCTGCTACCCAGTCCGTTGCGCCATGACACCTGCAAGCCAGGCACGCCCTTCACTTACAGCGGTTGAACAAGTCATACCTCGAAAAGATGTCAACGGATTTCATTCCACTGGAATTTCTGCTGCCAAGAACTTGATGTTTCTGCAAGGCAACTCTGGAAGCAAAACCAGCACAGGTCCATGCACTGCGTTCCCACTGCCTTCGGAATATTTCTTGGCGCGGCGGCGTTGAAGTTTGGAGCCCCGGATCTCCAGGACCAAGTCTCGCTCGAAAAGTTCCTTGAGGCCAGGCGGCCAGGCGCAAAAAAAAGGATCCCAAGGGTAATGTCATGCAGTTTTCAAGTGGTATCTGCCAAACTCCAACTTGGTTGTGAGAGAGGGGTTCCTTCCAGCAGCACTGGTCAGCATCTTGATTCATTTTGGTCTTACAGCATTTCGTTTATTGCAGCTAAGTATTTTAACTATAATTAGAAGGAAGTACCAATATCAAGCAATGCATTTATGCAAAATGGAGGCTTCAGATGGATTAAAATGTAACAACTAAACTTTATGACTTGGGAACTTGCAATTCTGCATTGCAGGATGTAGTGTATCTAGCATTTTGATGGACAACTCGAATTCTACGCCATTTTGGATATGATGTCTCAAGTCTTCCCATCTTTGTCGATGCAGCCAAGTGGCAATTTCTGCACCCGAAACTCTGGCAATTTTGTCCTGCTAGAACGACCATCGCAGTCTAAGGCAGTTGGAACGGGCGGGTGAGATCCAAATTTTCTGAAGGTGATCCTGACAATTGGTACATCTTTTGTGTGGCAAGGATTTGCTGGTCACCAGTGGCCACCGTCATCATGCAGAACCACCTTTGCAGGAATCAAGGCTCCTTGGTTCGGCCACCCTTGCCCAAGATGAAGGCAGCATCATCGTCCGTGATCTTCATGGAGTCAACCTGGGACATGTTCCCAACGTTTCCATGCCGTGACTAGGGAGAGTTGGAGGAACATATCATTCACCATGGTTCGATCAACCATCTCTAAATGCTGGTGCAGGTATTTTTTGAGTTCTGGACACCATAATCATCAGGCCTTTTGGTTTTCCCCTTGCACAATCAGGCAACAATAGCGCAAAGAGCAAATTTTCGGCATCATGACTTTCAGTTCACATTCAGGGAGCCTGAGATTTGCTTCGGCTTCTGCTGTCTTTTTTCCGGGAACGGCTTCGGCTATCCTCAAGCAGCAATAGTATGTGTCACACCCATTCCGGCTCATGATCAGCTGTTGCCACAAATTAATACAAACTACCTATGCAAAGAAATTTGCAACCCGCCTTGCCCTTGTCGCGGCTGCGACTGCCTCAGTCCGGGTTTCATGGCAGGTCTTTTGGTGGTCATCGTTTACAACTGAGGGAGCGCACGGTCCCCCATTGCGGCGCCTTGACTGCCCTAAATACAGTTGGCAAGCCGCGTTCCACCGGCCCTACATCTGAACCAATAAAACCCCGTCGCAATCCGTTCTCCAATTTTGAACACACAAAAATCCGATTGGTTCTGGCTGTTTGCAGGTCTACGGTGTTAAATGAAGGCTGGAAATCCAGGATTCCGGAGCATTTGCTGTCATATTGTTCGCTTGGTTGTCGAACCGTCATTAATTTTGGTGCCAAAACATCATCCATTCTTTTCGACTTCAAAATACTTCAAACATCTAACAAGACACGGTTCACTTCACAAAGTTTGTTTTCCTGTTTCAAAAATATCCTGGGCCCAAAACAGGGTTCAGGAGAACATCTACCGACAAAAGCTTTTGACCAGGACGTCCTTCCAGGACCTCAACTAGAATTTCACAATATCGTCTTTCAACTTGACTTTCAACAATATCTTGCACAAGAAACTCCTAGGAGCAGCCTGCCAAAATTTTCATACAAACACATTTTCACAAGGTCCCTTACAATGGCCTCTCCAAACCTAGGGTCTCTCAAAGAGCCTCATGGGACGGTCGACGAATGACTTTCTAGAGAGGATCTTGCAAAAGGATCTTGCGAGATCTTTTGCAAGAACCTCTTCCACAACAACCATCCCCCCAGAGCTTTCATACAAGCAGCCCTAATACGGGGCATCCTCAAGAGTTTCATGCAAGAACCTCTTCAAAGATGCAACCACGAACTTTACAAGCTCTCGTTGTACTTTCCGGTTTCAGCTGGGGTAACCACTATTATCCCAAATAGACTGATAAACCTAAGAGGCAAAATACCGCTAAGCCCTGCGGCACAAGCTTCCTTTTCCTGAGCCGCAATTGCTACCAATCAATGCTATAATACATGGTGCTTTTAGGTCCAGTGCAATTACACCCCCCTCAGGTGACCTGCCGCAGCAAGGCTGGATCTTGGCGTCTGCTCTATACACAACCGTCACTGCCATAGCCGAAATTGCACCGAGGGACACCAAAACGGCTTTGTACAAAAACAATCGGTCGGCTGCAACGTGCTGGCTTAGGACTCTTCCCATTCAGTGCGTCCATAGCGGACGACCTTTTGCCATGCCACTTCACCCACTGCCCAGTGTACTCACGATCTCCACTGGCAGACTGTGGCGCATCAAGCCAAGCACGTGCCGACGTAGATAAGGATGCAGTTGGCAACCGGAATTAGCGGTGCCTTTCTTTGATGGAGCTTGTCCAAATGCAGCCGTCTGCTTAGCTTTGCGCTTTGCCTCATTCTTCTCTTTGGCTCGTTGAGACTGCCTTCTCTTTTCCTCAACATTTTTGATGTAGATGGCAATGTTGTGAGATTTGATCTATTTCAAATGTCGCTCTGCATCATGCACTGCAACCGAATCAACCCCTGTGTTGGACAAAAGAAGGTTGTGAGTTGGGTGGGTTTCTTTCCAAATGCTCAATGTACTCTTCCTCTGAATAAGTTTCAGCTTTGAACATGTACAACCAAGGTTGTCCGGTCCGGGGCATCCTTCTCACTGGCGATGTCAAGGTAGACCAAGCGCATGGCATTGTGCTCAAGCTGTGACGACTCTGATGTGCCAAGACGGACCTGAGCTCTGGTTCTGTCTGGCTTTGGGAGATGAGCGTGCACACCGCAGCAGGTCATAGTGCTCGCAGTCGTACTCATTGTCGCCTTCATGGAGCAGGCTCTCGGCGAAGGTGGCATCTTTTGAATACCTGTCCAACACCGACTTGAATCCCAGGTTCACCGCGCTCTCAAACCTTGATTTGGCACGGTTGAGATGATCTGCTTTAGAGCTTGCACTGCCATGTGCTTGATCGTCGAGAAGCCCGAGCGCATCCAACTGGCTGCTGGTGATCTGCTGGAGGAACTTGGGCAAGTGCTCGCTTGAATCTTCACTGACTCAACTTGACACTTGAATCTTTCCCCTTCGGCTGTCCTTTCTTCACCGAAGATTTTGATTTTGATGCCGTTTTGGAGGTTGTTGTGCCCGGTGGTGGATGCGATGGCTCCTTTGGCACCGACTTCGGAGGATGAGGTGCCTTCGGAACTGGCTCCAAAAACTTCGCTGCCGATGATGCTACTGGCACAGGTTTGGGCTCGCTTGTTAGGGCGGCCTTCTTCTGTGCTGGTTGATCAAAGCTTTCGGCAGGCTTTGCAGCAGCTTTTGGGGCTTCTGCCTTTGGCACTTGTGGAGGTGCTCGTACAGCGTCAGCATAGCCAGGCCACTTGATTGGTGGCGGCCGCTTCACAGTGCTGGCTGCAGAAGGAGTCAAAGACTTGACCTCAATCCACCTGCTGTTGAACACCAGGTGCCAACCCCGCTGATCTTCGCAGTTTCGATGGTTTCCTGATGACGTCTGCAGAGGTTCACCTGGCGCTCGGTGTCGTCAACTGACAAAACAAATTGTGCTGGCACAACATCCCGAATCAAAATGCCTTCTGGTGCAGTTTTGATGAAAATGACGCCGGCATTGACGGCCTCAGCCATAGCGACACGAATCTCAAGTGGTCTTTCAGCACGCAGTCCAGACACATAAGAACCCTGTGTGACCCTGACTTCAGAAAAGTAGCTGTCGGCACGACCAGAAGAAACTTTGTCCCCACCTCCTGGAATGAATCCGCCTGTGATGATCCCCTTCCAATTTGCCTTCGTTGTGTGATGATAGATCACACCTGGAGTCTCATCAGCAGTGACAATGGGCTTTCCAATTCGGGAATACGTTTACAAAGCAGCTGCACCAGAGTTGGCGTAGACCGTGGTTGCATTGAAGGTGTCCGATGCGGATGCCCCTGTCATTGCTTTTTGACTGTGGCCTTGCACTGCCCAAATCTTGAAGGGCCAATAGGCTAACCCTTCACGGGTTGCCAACTGCAAGCCTGCCACACAGCGGAACTCAAAGCGACATTTGTTGTCATGACTGAGTAGTGCCAAAAGTTCTTCAATGCTCGGTGGAGTGATCTTCTTCGGCCCTTCGGCAACATCTTGTTGAAGAGCTTGAAAAAGTAATCCAGGTCGAGCCACATTTCACCATCAAAAAGGCTTGTGTATTGACCCCTGGTGGCCGCGTTGACTTTCGCGCGGTGCTCCCAGAGTCGCTGGGGAAACCTCAATTTGTCAGCCCCTTCCA